AAACAACCTATGTGCCCATCAACAAATGAATGGATAGAGAAGTTGTGGTATAGTCACACAATGGAATACTATGTTGCATTGAAAAAACAAGGAATTCATGCAATATTATTCAAAATGGGTGACCCTGGAGGACATTATGCTGAGTGAAGTGTCTCAGTCACAAAAGGACAAATAGTGCATGGTGCCACTGCTGTAGAATGGGACTGACATCAGGATTGGGATAAGAATGAGAAAACTGGATGGATTATGTGTACTGCATTGAAATGGATGAGGGAGAGAACCGTTTAAAAGCAATATACTATAGGGCATTATGATTATCATAAGAGTCCGGAATGAAGGTTGCAGAGTGGAGTATACTTGGGGTGGAGGTGAGGGGGGTGCAGGGGGCATTGTATATCAATGAAGGAATTTTTATTTTACTTTTCAAAGAGAAGAGCGAGCTGGGAGTGGGGGGGAGTGGGCAGAGAGAAAAGCGCAACAATGAATGAATGGAAATCCAAAATCTCTGTAAATGTTCATTGAAATTAATAAAAAAAAAAGTAAAAAAAAATCCTTCATTGTTGTACATTTCCGTCCCCCCAGCCCCAGTCCACTTTACTATGCAGCTCTTATTCTGGACAGTTGTTTATCCCTTCTTTTCTTAGTTTCTCCGTAACCCCGATGTCAGACCTATATTATAACAGTGGCATTATGCAGTATTTTTCCTTTTGTGACAGTATGTATGCTGAGTGAAACACTAATCATTTTAAGGAATTTTTCCTTTTTTTTTTCCAGTGTAAAGTTTTTACATTATTGCAATCCACTCCAAATTATCTTTCATGAAACCTATAATCAACATTTAATAAGAGCTTATTCTTTTTTTTTATATTGAATTTAATCAAATTTAAACTTTCATTTAGCAATGGACTTTGCTAAAAAAGTGAAGAGACAAACTCAGACTGGAAATTATGTGGAACCATGTACTGGATAAAGCTTTAACATCCAAATATATACAGAATTCCTACGATTTGGCTGAAAGACAAAAAACCCAATTGCAAAATAAGATGAAAACATCAAATTTGCTTAAGGATGAGGAGAAATCAGAATCATCTCTGTTGCTGGTTGTTAATGTTGTTAGATGTCATTAATAAGAGCTTATTCTATCCTAGGGAGGCCTGGTGATGTACTCGGTCAGGAGTTAGGCTGCTAACCTAAACTCGGCATTTCTGTGGCAGTTAGTCTACCAGAAACTCTGTGGGAGAAAGACAAGTAGTCATCTCCTGTAGGATTTACAGCCTCTAACTATATGCTGGAGGCTTATCTATGAGTCAGTTCTGATTGTATCATAGTTAAGTGAGTATTCTATGCTTGCGCTAAGACCATATGGTGCATTTAAAAACTATGAAAGCGTAATAATTGGTCTCAATATATTATGCAAATATGCATTTGGGGGAAAGCTATACCCTAATCATAGAATGATGGAAATATATGTATATACTTTTCCTATCTCAAGCTAATTTTGCAGATATTTGTACTGTAAAGAGACATTTAAATTCTTATATGTGTTTCTTACTTAAAACTAGAATACCTTTAAACATTACTTAAATTCTTTAACATCCAGGCGGTGTGTTTTTTGTTTTTTTTTTTTAAAGAAAAACTACCTGCCAAAGGCTTTAAATGATATTTTAAAGGAATCACGTTTAGTTGTTTTACTCTTCTTGAAAAATTGCAGGTTTCTGAAGAAATAGAGAAAATGTCATCTAGAGAGAGAGCTTTACAAGTTAAAATACTAGACCTGGAAATGGAGCTTAGGAAAAAAAATGAGGAACAAAATCAACTTGTTTGCAAACTTAGCAGTGTAAGTATTAGTATGCCTTATATGTTATTACCTAACATTCTTACCATAGTTTAGTCACCTGATAAAGATCTAAGGAGAGCCAGAGTCATTGCTCTACTAAGAATATTAAAAATCATAGTATATATCATAATTAAATATTTTATATGTATAAAATAAAACTATAAAATAAGAGTATGTTGTTATATGTCATCATGTCACCTGCGACTCATAGCAAATAAGAGTATGTTGTTGTTGTTGTGGTTAAGTGCCATTGAGTTGTAGACAACTCATAACGACCCTATGAATGAAAGACCTGAACACTTCGTTGTTTCTTCAAGTTCATAGTTTCCGGAGGCAAGCCATTTAGGAAGTGGATGCCACTCCTGCTTCCAAGCTTGTTTTAATTGGGAAGCTCCACCAAACACCTTCCACCATGGGTAACCATTCTCGCATTTGGCACATCAGTGTCTCAGTGTTTAGCATCACAGCAACCACTGGTTACCTCTCTATAGCAATGCACAGACCAGTGCTATACCATGTAGAAGAATGTTTGACAAAAAACAATTTAAACCAGGCCTGAGGGCTGCAGATTAAAGTCACCCACCTTGGGCTTGATACGTAGCTCTCTCTGTGTTGTCTTCTTATTGTTGTTAGGCCCTGTCAAGTCGTAGATGACTCATAACGACCCTATGAACGAAAGGCCTGAACACTTATATAACTAGTCATTTCTCCATGTTTATAGAGTTTCTGGAGGCAAGCTATTTCAGAAGTGGGTGCCACTCCTGCTTCCAAATAATAGTATACATCATTAAAATGTCAAGATTATGTCAAAGAATTGACTTTAGTCTTGCCTTAGTAGCATCTGTTACATTTCCCTCAGTTCTTATCAGAACTATTAGCCACATGTTGCTTTTACATGACAGCTGCTTAGTGGAAATTACATATGTTATCTGCTTATTTTCTTCCTTATATAATCGTTTTTTTAAAAAAAGATAAATACAACTTTTTCTTTAACTCATCAAGTTCCCGAGAGAGTAAAATGTGTGTCATTGTTCCTTTTTCATAGTGAACCTCTGAAAAAAATATGTACCAACATGAAGTGGATTTTTCTCAAGCAATTGCTAAAGGAACCTTAAGAGCTGATGGTTTTTTGTAGCTGTGAAAAAAATCTAGAATTCTTTTAAGTATAGGTTTAGATTCATAGTAAGATTTCACATTGCTGAAGAATGAGCTACGTATTCCATCTCTCTCAATGGTCAGTTCAATGAACAGATAGTATTTATTTTGTAAACATTCTTTAGCCCTCACTGATCTGTAAATACTTTGAGAGACTTTGTTATAGTTGGTTGTGTACCGTTGTCTTCCATAGTGCCCTGGCTACATTAACAGGTCTTTGCAGAATTTTCCTTCACATCCTTAAAAGGAGGGCAGAGTAGACAAACTCAGGAGTGACTTGAGTAGTTACTCTCCTGAAGCTTGAAGTTTTTGAAGTCTTACGTGTTATTTAAAAATCCATGTACATTTTTATATTCTGCTGTATAATACAAGCATATTTGTGTTAATAGTTTTATCCCCTAATTACTGTATAACCTCACCAAAGGCTCATGGTTTGAATCCACCAGCTGCTCTGCAAGAAAAAGATGGGCAATCTCCTCCCGTGCAGTTTACTGCCTCTGAAAACCTGCTGGAGGGTCAACTCTGACTCAGTGGTACTCAACAACAATGATAATAATTGTTGCATTAAAATCACTGCTCCATAAAGATTCTCAGTGCTTATTCTTTGACTTTGTATAGCCTACCCCAGCATTTGCTTCATGTCATCTCTTGTCTGAAGGGCATTACCCATTTTGAGATGATATTAGATATAGGTGAACAACTGATGTGAAGAAATAAAAATCTCTCTCAAAAGTATCCACCTTTTACTTGGAAATGACTTGGTATTTGCAGCTTGTCTTTATTGAAAGTATTCTCCATTAATAGATTTCCTAAGGAAATTGTATGAAGTTGAATGTTTTAGAGATATATTGGGTTTTCATTTTTTTCTGAAAGAAACACCTATAAAAGTGAGAATTTTGCTTATTAAAACTTTAAGATTCTAAAAATAAATGTTCATGTTGTTAAAACTATAATAAATTTTGAAGAGAGTAAAAATCATTGTATAAAATATTATTTTAGGTGAACAATATAGCAAAAAACCAGTGTAAAAATACTTTTTGTTAAATTTAATGTAAATGAATTATAACAATTTTACATAAAAGCCAGTTAAGACAATCATGGTATAATTTCATCTTAAGACAAACTATGCTTCTGGAGAGATCAACCATTATATTTTTTTAAAATCTGGATGTTAAGGAAATAGTAATAAGAACCCATGCTGCAATTCCAAAGGCAAATGGTTCAAATCTACATTTTCTAAAGAAAATGTATAATTTTGGTTTAATTTCTAAATAATAATATGGGAGAAGGATGGTCATCCTCCTTGTGTGATTTACTGCCTCTAAAAACCTGCTAGAGGCTCTGCTATGAGTCATTTCTGACTCGATGGTAAACGACAGTTCTGAGACAATAATAGGTACATCAGGTAAACAGATTCTTTAGAAAACAAAAAATAATGTATTCAGATAATGTGTGTATATGTTTGATTCTATGATTCTTGTCCTTTGATGTGAATGCCATTATTGATCATCTCTTTTTATTTATTTTTGTTTAGAAAGCCCAACATCAGGAAGTATGTTTGAAAGAAGTACAACATAATATTGAGAAGTCAGAGAATGAAAATGAGAGTATTAAAAATTATTTGCAGTTTCTTCAGACTT